AACTTTCTAGACTTTTTTCATCGGCATGTTTTTTGAAAGTTTTTTTAGAAGAAAAGGTTTTTTTTGTTTAGATCACTCTTACGTTTTTTGAACCTAATGACGCAGTAAAAAGGATCGTATATAGTATAACTATTTGATAGATTTGTAGTAAGAAGTAAAATTAGAAGTAAAGTTTTCAGACCTCCAGAGAAAGCAGAAGTTTCCAAGGCTGAACTCGTTCGGCCACTTCCTCCTCCGCTGCCAAATGCGGCAGCACGCAAAGTCCCACCGTCAAGCCCGTTGGTTGCATTGCCTGCTAGGAAGCCTCACCCGTCACCTAGTCCAGCATCGGTCGGGTCGGGCCGCAAGTCTAATCCTTCCAGAAATCCAACAGAAGTGTCAGTATTATATGTATTCTCTTTTGGTTTAAAGCTCTGTTGTATAAAATTCTTTTTAGGAGGCCTATTGTCAAAGAAGAGCCTGTTAGCAAGGAATATCCTGATAATCCTGGGCCTTCTCAAGTTTTGTTGAAAACTAAGACGCTGGAGCTTGTACCAAGTAATTCAACACCAGGCAGATTACCAGCTAAGAAGGAGCTATTGAGCAGAGCTAGGCAAGGCGTACCAGTGGAGATGCGATCGCCTCCGGCTCACACTAGCATCGCTGCAACGTCGTTGTTTTCACGTTATTCCGTGGACGATTACGAATCCGATGGCTCCGCGTCACCAGAGCTTGGCGTTGACGATGTACCACAGTCGCTACTTCCAAGCACTCCATCGCAAGCAGCTGCTCCATTGTCATCTCCTACTCCTGATCTAACCTCCGCGACCTCTTTGGCGCCCACTCCATCTCCTTCAAAGTCACAAATAGCTAGAACTTTAACGCCTCCTCCCAAGCGTGTGCCAGTTCCACAACCGCCACATAGATCAACTTCGCAGCGATCTGTGCCTGCACCTCCACCATTACCACGGAAGGAGGTACATATTTTTTTAGGAGGACTGTATCCGATTTTGGGATGTATGAAATATTTTTCTTGCTTTAGCAAATCAGTTTGCATTCAGAAAGTGGTGAAAACTCCCGAAAGGACTGCATCGCCAGTGGTTAAACAGGAAAATGTAAAACCTGTGGTGAAGAGCGAGGAAGAAAAGCCAGCTGAGCGCTTTAGATTCAAACCGCAGGTACCATCTAATCAACATTTAATTTTGTATCCATTAGCTTTTGAAGAATTTTTTGTTCAATAGTATGAGATATCTGTGAGAGGGTTTTAAACGATGTTTGTTGGATGCACCAATTGTCATTAAGGACCTACATTATTTTTTTTTGGATTTTTTTTCTGAGCCATTTCTGTTTAAGTAGGTTTAAGGCTAATTCTATCAAGCTTTTAAAATAAATTTTTTACTATGCTCTTCCTTTCTGCAGGTGCCCAGACCCACCCCGGTGTCTCCGCTCAAACCAGCTGTGCCAAAGCGCGAAGCACCAGTGGAGCCAGGACTTGGTGGAAAGGATGTGAACTGTAAGGAAATCAGAAATCATTTTGAAGAGAACGAGAAGAGCGCGGTAAGCAA